ACTAGTTAATACCATCTGGCTGTAGACCTGTAGGTCAGTCTGACTAGTTAACGCCATCTGGCTGTAGACCTGTAGGTCAGTCTGGCTAGTTAACACCATCTGGCTGTAGACCTGTAGGTCAGTCTGGCTAGTTAATACCATCTGGCTGTAGACCTGTAGGTCAGTCTGGCTAGTTAACGCCATCTGGCTGTAGGTCAGTCTGGCTAGTTAATACCATCTGGCTGTAGACCTGTAGGTCAGTCTGGCTAGTTAATACCATCTGGCTGTAGGTCAGTCTGGCTAGTTAATACCATCTGGCTGTAGACCTGTAGGTCAGTCTGGCTAGTTAATACCATCTGGCTGTAGACCTGTAGGTCAGTCTGACTAGTTAATACCATCTGGCTGTAGGTCAGTCTGGCTAGTTAATACCATCTGGCTGTAGGTCAGTCTGGCTAGTTAATACCATCTGGCTGTAGACCTGTAGGTCAGTCTGACTAGTTAATACCATCTGGCTGTAGGTCAGTCTGGCTAGTTAATACCATCTGGCTGTAGGTCAGTCTGACTAGTTAATACCATCTGGCTGTAGACCTGTAGGTCAGTCTGACTAGTTAACACCATCTGGCTGTAGACCTGTAGGTCAGTCTGGCTAGTTAATACCATCTGGCTGTAGACCTGTAGGTCAGTCTGGCTAGTTAACACCATCTGGCTGTAGACCTGTAGGTCAGTCTGGCTAGTTAACACCATCTGGCTGTAGACCTGTAGGTCAGTCTGACTAGTTAACACCATCTGGCTGTAGACCTGTAGGTCAGTCTGACTAGTTAATACCATCTGGCTGTAGACCTGTAGGTCAGTCTGACTAGTTAATACCATCTGGCTGTAGACCTGTAGGTCAGTCTGACTAGTTAACGCCATCTGGCTGTAGACCTGTAGGTCAGTCTGGCTAGTTAACGCCATCTGGCTGTAGACCTGTAGGTCAGTCTGACTAGTTAACGCCATCTGGCTGTAGACCTGTAGGTCAGTCTGGCTAGTTAACACCATCTGGCTGTAGACCTGTAGGTCAGTCTGACTAGTTAATACCATCTGGCTGTAGACCTGTAGGTCAGTCTGACTAGTTAATACCATCTGGCTGTAGGTCAGTCTGACTAGTTAACGCCATCTGGCTGTAGACCTGTAGGTCAGTCTGACTAGTTAACACCATCTGGCTGTAGGTCAGTCTGGCTAGTTAACGCCATCTGGCTGTAGACCTGTAGGTCAGTCTGACTAGTTAATACCATCTGGCTGTAGACCTGTAGGTCAGTCTGACTAGTTATACCATCTGGCTGTAGACCTGTAGGTCAGTCTGGACTAGTTAATACCATCTGGCTGAGTGTAGGTCAGTCTGACTAGTTAACGCCATCTGGCTGTAGACCTGTAGGTCAGTCTGACAGTTAATACCATCTGGGCTGTAGGTCAGTCTGGACTAGTTAACACCATCTGGCTGTAGACCTGTAGGTCAGTCTGGCTAGTTAACACCATCTGGCTGTAGACCTGTAGGTCAGTCTGACTAGTTAACACCATCTGGCTGTAGACCTGTAGGTCAGTCTGACTAGTTAATACCATCTGGCTGTAGACCTGTAGGTCAGTCTGGCTAGTTAACACCATCTGGCTGTAGACCTGTAGGTCAGTCTGACTAGTTAATACCATCTGGCTGTAGACCTGTAGGTCAGTCTGACTAGTTAACACATCTGGCTGTGACCTGTAGGTCAGTCTGACTAGTTACACATACCATCTGGCTGTAGACCTGTAGGTCAGTCTGGCTAGTTAAACCATCTGGCTGTAGACCTGTAGGTCAGTCTGACTAGTTAACACCATCTGGCTGTAGACCTGTAGTCAGTCTGACTAGTTAATACCATCTGGACTGTAGGTCAGTCTGCTAGTTAACACCATCTGGCTGTAGACTGTAGGTCAGTCTGACTAGTTAACACCATCTGGCTGTAGACCTGTAGGTCAGTCTGGCTAGTTAATACCATCTGGCTGTAGGTCAGTCTGACTAGTTAACACCATCTGGCTGTAGACCTGTAGGTCAGTCTGACTAGTTAATACCATCTGGCTGTAACTGTAGGTCAGTCTGACTAGTTTAATACCACTGCTGAGCTGTAGGTCAGTCTGACTAGTTAACCCATCTGGCTGTAGACCTGTAGTCAGTCTGGCTAGTTAAACCATCTGGCTGTAGGTCAGTCTTGACTAGTTAAACCATCTGGCTGTAGACCTGTAGGTCAGTCTGACTAGTTAATACCATCTGGCTGTAGACCTGTAGGTCAGTCTGACTAGTTAATACCATCTGGCTGTGACTGTAGGTCGTGGACTAGTTAATACCATCTGGCTGTAGACCTGTAGGTCAGTCTGGCTAGTTAACACCATCTGGCTGTAGACCTGTAGGTCAGTCTGACTAGTTAATACCATCTGGCTGTAGACCTGTAGGTCAGTCTGACTAGTTAATACCATCTGGCTGTAGACCTGTAGGTCAGTCTGACTAGTTAATACCATCTGGCTGTAGACCTGTAGGTCAGTCTGAGCTAGTTAACACCATCTGGCTGTAGACCTGTAGGTCAGTCTGACTAGTTAAACCATCTGGCTGTAGACCTGTAGGTCAGTCTGACTAGTTAACACCATCTGGCTGTAGACTGTAGGTCAGTCTGACTAGTTAACACCATCTGGCTGTAGACCTGTAGGTCAGTCTGACTAGTTAACACCATCTGGCTGTAGACTGTAGTCTCTGGCTAGTTAATACCATCTGGCTGTAGACCTGTAGGTCAGTCTGACTAGTTAACACCATCTGGCTGTAGGTCGTTGCTATTAACACCATCTGGCGTAGACCTGTAGGTCAGTCTGACTAGTTAACACCATCTGGCTGTAGACCTGTAGGTCAGTCTGACTAGTTAACACCATCTGGCTGTAGGTCAGTCTGACTAGTTAATACCATCTGGCTGTAGACCTGTAGGTCAGTCTGACTAGTTAACACCATCTGGCTGTGTAGGTCAGTCTGACTAGTTAATACCATCTGGCTGTAGGTAGTCAGTCTGACTAGTTAATACCATCTGGCTGTAGACCTGTAGGTCAGTCTGACTAGTTAACACCATCGGCTGTGCTGTAGTACCTATATGGTCAGTCTGACTAGTTAATACCATCTGGCTGTAGACCTGTAGGTCAGTCTGACTAGTTAATACCATCTGGCTGTAGACCTGTAGGTCAGTCTGACTAGTTAACACCATCTGGCTGTAGGTCAGTCTGACTAGTTAATACCATCTGGCTGTAGGTCAGTCTGGCTAGTTAATACCATCTGGCTGTAGACCTGTAGGTCAGTCTGGCTAGTTAATACCATCTGGCTGTAGGTCAGTCTGACTAGTTAATACCATCTGGCTGTAGACCTGTAGGTCAGTCTGACTAGTTAACACCATCTGGCTGTAGACCTGTAGGTCAGTCTGACTAGTTAATACCATCTGGCTGTAGACCTGTAGGTCAGTCTGACTAGTTAACACCATCTGGCTGTAGGTCAGTCTGGCTAGTTAATACCATCTGGCTGTAGGTCAGTCTGACTAGTTAACACCATCTGGCTGTAGGTCAGTCTGGCTAGTTAATACCATCTGGCTGTAGGTCAGTCTGGCTAGTTAACGCCATCTGGCTGTAGGTCAGTCTGGCTAGTTAATACCATCTGGCTGTAGACCTGTAGGTCAGTCTGACTAGTTAATACCATCTGGCTGTAGGTCAGTCTGACTAGTTAATACCATCTGGCTGTAGACCTGTAGGTCAGTCTGGCTAGTTAACACCATCTGGCTGTAGACCTGTAGGTCAGTCTGACTAGTTAATACCATCTGGCTGTAGACCTGTAGGTCAGTCTGGCTAGTTAATACCATCTGGCTGTAGACCTGTAGGTCAGTCTGGCTAGTTAACACCATCTGGCTGTAGACCTGTAGGTCAGTCTGGCTAGTTAATACCATCTGGCTGTAGACCTGTAGGTCAGTCTGACTAGTTAACACCATCTGGCTGTAGACCTGTAGGTCAGTCTGGCTAGTTAATACCATCTGGCTGTAGACCTGTAGGTCAGTCTGGCTAGTTAATACCATCTGGCTGTAGACCTGTAGGTCAGTCTGACTAGTTAATACCATCTGGCTGTAGGTCAGTCTGGCTAGTTAATACCATCTGGCTGTAGACCTGTAGGTCAGTCTGACTAGTTAATACCATCTGGCTGTAGACCTGTAGGTCAGTCTGACTAGTTAACACCATCTGGCTGTAGGTCAGTCTGACTAGTTAATACCATCTGGCTGTAGACCTGTAGGTCAGTCTGACTAGTTAATACCATCTGGCTGTAGACCTGTAGGTCAGTCTGACTAGTTAATACCATCTGGCTGTAGGTCAGTCTGACTAGTTAACACCATCTGGCTGTAGACCTGTAGGTCAGTCTGACTAGTTAATACCATCTGGCTGTAGGTCAGTCTGACTAGTTAATACCATCTGGCTGTAGGTCAGTCTGGCTAGTTAACACCATCTGGCTGTAGACCTGTAGGTCAGTCTGACTAGTTAATACCATCTGGCTGTAGGTCAGTCTGACTAGTTAATACCATCTGGCTGTAGGTCAGTCTGGCTAGTTAACGCCATCTGGCTGTAGACCTGTAGGTCAGTCTGACTAGTTAACACCATCTGGCTGTAATGCTCATCTGTCTCCTCCTGAGACCTGTTGGCTTTGTTTTACTGTAAAGTGACTTGTGATTTTTAATGCACTTTAAATCCAGGTTTGAAAGCGAGGTTACTGAGGACCTAGCTGTAGATGAAGTGTGCTTGTCTGTCCTATGAGTCATCAGACCCATTTAGAGGAGAGTGATAACACAGGCAGCCCAATTCTGTTCTTTCTGACAATTATTGGCAAAAGATCTGATCTGGTCCATTATCAGAATTGGGCTGCCTCTGTTAAATGCAGCCTAACAGTATCTATCTCTGTATTAACCCTCTCCCCCCCGTCCCCCCGTCCCCCCCCCTGTCTCCAGTTCTACCTGCATGAGGAGGACCTGGGGAAGAACAGGGCTGAGGTGTCTCGGATTCGCCTTGCTGAACTCAACAGCTACGTACCTGTAGTAGCATACACTGGAGCGCTCACCGACGACTACCTGATTCAGTTCCAGGTAAAACTACATTACCCATCAACCCCCCCCCTTACCTAGTTAAACTACATTACACTGGAGCCAAAGACGGTACGGTATCAAGATAGGCTAAAACTGCTTCTCCTATAGAAATCCCTGATCACACTTGTAGGCGACGTCATGGCGACGTTGGCTAGCTAAGCTCATGGGTAGAAACACGTCGTCGGGGTCTAACGGTCGTCTCGAGCCAAACTGTGCATGTGCACGCAGTCAGTCACTCCTTCAATATGACGTTTTATTTGACGAAAAATGAAAACGTGTCAGTTTATCACTTTCACAAAGTTGGAGTAATAACATTTTCAACTACTTAAAACATTGCCTCTCAACTACTTAAAACATTGCCTCTCAACTACTTAAAACATTGCCTCTCAACTACTTAAAACATTGGCTCTCAACTACTTAAAACATTGGCTCTCAACTAGTTTGTGCCTTTTAGATTTCTATAAAAATTGACTTCTCAAACCCTGCTCTGGTCTGCTTGGTCTGTTGGAAGTCTTGCAATGTTGCACCTCTGGGTTTAGAAACTGTGCTGGAGCCCTTACCGACAACTACCTGACTCAGTTCCAAGTAAAACTACATTACCCATCAACCCCCTAACCTAGTTAAAGTGGAACTGACAGCGGTTTAACTACTTCGCAGATATGAAACAATCATATCAGTCAAATATCAAATTCCCAGTTTATGCTACAAAACCAACTTCATAAGAGGTTTTAAAAATAGGTTCTATTTGACTCATAATGTTTACTGAGGTATTGTTGGCAGAATAGATGGATGCAGTTCAATGCATGATTAATATAATTCACCAATACATTTCTTGGTTGTCCCAAAAATATTGCTATCAGGTTGTAAATCACAGCTGGCCTGGTACATTGTTTGCTGCCTCCATTCGGGATGCTCTTTTCAGTTTCAATATTTTGGAAAAAAATTGACGAATGTAACTAATGCTGGGAACGTCAATACAATCAAATTAGCAAGGGCAATGATCACAAGTCAGTCATAACGTGGCTAGTAGGCTAGCGTATCTTTATGTAACTATTTAGTCAAGCTTAAAAACACGGCGCCTAACGTTAGCTAGGAGGATGCCATGTCATTGGAGGAGTGGGCGAGTGACTGACTTTTCCCCCTCCATATTGTTTAATTTTTTTTGGTGGCTACAGCTAGAGATGCAGGTGTTATTTTGTTAGCTAGCAAGAAATTATAATCACTTTGCTAACAGAAATTATAATCGCTTTGCTAACAGAAATTATAATCGCTTTGCTAGCAAGAAATTATAATCGCTTTGCTAGCAAGAAATTATAATCACTTTGCTAGCTATGTTGAACTGTTATCCAGTTAGCATATCTCTTCCGTTCGTAAATTCATTCTGGCTATCTACTCTAGCTCTGATTGGCTATGGCTCACCGGTCTGCGTAGACTCCGGTCCTGGACGAGACAGATGTTTTTATTAGGTTTTATTTACTGCAGTGTCTTAATTGTCCAAACACACGGCCGCTTTCCCACTCTATATTGCTATAGAAGTTTCACATGTCTTTAGTATACGTCATTCCCAAACATTATATGCATTTTTGAAAACTTGAAAATGACCATATCGAAGTGTTCGCTTGTCAGAAGAAGAAGAAACGCTGTCATATATGCCTGTATCGCAATAATCTTATTTATCAGCATTTTGCCTTTTTGGTGTCATCACCTTCTGTGCTGTGTGCACTGTGCACCTTCCCACTCGCACAGACACCAAGTCCCTCCCCCTGCCACTCAGAACAAAGACTTAAAGATCACTTCCTCTCTGACAACAAGCAGTTTCAACTCGCTATTTGAGGTTTGGTCCAACAGAATCGGTCAATTCCCCTTGTAACCATACTCGTATGTGTCCCAAAATGTAGAACAGATTGTGAAAAATGTATGCTTAGTTTGTCTTGGGCTGCGTTACCGTTAACAGCATTTTAGCCACAGACTTACAGTTGAAGTCGGAAGTTTACATACACCTTAGCCAAATACATTTCAACTCAGTTTTTCACAATTCCTGACATTTAATCCTAGTAAAAAGTCCCTGTCTTAGGTCAGTTAGGATCACCACTTTATTTTAAGAATGTGTAATGTCAGAATAATAGTAGAGAGAATTATTTATTTCAGCTTTTATTTATTTCATCACATTCCCAGTGGGTCAGAAGTTTACATACACTCAATTAGTATTTTGTAGCATTGCCTTTTAAATTGTTTAACTTGGATCAAATGTTTCGGGTAGCCTTCCACAAGCTTCCCACAATAAGTTAGGTACATCTTGGCCCATTCCTCCTGACAGAGCTGGTGTAACTGAGTCAGGTTTGTAGGCCTCCTTGCTCGCACACACTTTTTCAGTTCTGCCCACACATTTTCTATAGGATTGAGGTCAGGGTTTTGTGATGGCCACTCCAATACCTTGACTTTGTTGTCCTTAAGCCATTCTGCCACAACTTTGGAAGTATGCTTGGGGTCGTTGTCCATTTGGAAGACCCATTTGTGACAAAGCTTTAACTTCCTGACTGATGTCTTGAGATGTTGCTTCAATATATCCACATTATTTTCCTTCCTCATGATGCCATCTATTTTGTGAAGTGCACCAGTCCCTCCTGCAGCAAAGCACCCCCACAGCATGATGCTGCCACCCCGTGCTTCACGGTTGGGATGGTGTTCTTCGGCTTGTAAGCAAACATAAAGATGGTCATTATGGCCAAACAGTTCTATTTTTGTTTCATCAGACCAGAGGACATTTATCCAAAAAGTACGATCTTTGTCCCCATGTGCAGTTGCAAACCATAGTCTGGCTTTTTTATGGCGGTTTTGGAGCAGTGGCTTCTTCCTTGCTGAGCGGCCTTTCAGGTGATGTCGATATAGGACTCATTTTACTGTGGATATAGATACTTTTGTGCCTGTTTCCTCCAGCATCTTCACAAGGTCCTTTGCTGCTGTTCTGGGATTGATTTGCACTTTTCGCACCAAAGTACGTTCATCTCTAGGAGACAGAACGCGTCTCCTTCCTGAGCGGTATGACGGCTGCGTGGTCCCATGGTGTTTATACTTGCGTACTATTGTTTGGACAGATGAACGTGGTACCTTCAGGCGTTTGGAAATTGCTCCCAAGGATGAACCAGACTTGTGGAGGTCTACAATTTTTTTCTGAGGTCTTGGCTGATTTCTTTTGATTTTGCCATGATGTCAAGCAAAGAGGCACTGAGTTTGAAGGTAGGCCTTGAAATACATCCACAGGTACACCTCCAATTGACCCAAATGATGTCAATTAGCCTATCGGAAGCTTCTAAAGCCATGACATCAATTTCTGGAATTTTCCAAGCTGTTTAAAGGCACAGTCAATTTAGTGTATGTAAACTTCTGACCCACTGGAATTGTGATACAGTGAATTATAAGTGAAATAATCTGTCTGTAAACAATTGTTGGAAAAATTACTTGTGTCATGCACAAAGTAGATGTCCTAACCGACTTGTCAAAACTATAGTTTGTTAACAAGGCATTTGTGGAGTGGTTGAAAAACGAGTTTTAATGACTTCAACTGTATGTGCTGTCTTTGTTTTTATAAATGTGCAATGAGCATAAAAATATGTATTTACATAAGGAATTGGCAACCCGTTCTCATTCTGAGAAATAAGCATCTTATCCAGGTAGGCCTCTTGATTTCAACATCCTAAACAAAGTGAACAGTTGGAGACGGACAGGAGGGTGCGTTCATAACAGTTCCAACTGGTGAATAGATCCAAGTTGGCTAGACTTTAAATATAAAGAATATCTGGCTACTCACTAGCATGTGGGCTTTGTGCTTGAGTGTTTTATAAGACCTGTGTACATTTTCTATGCCTGTTACCAGAAGGTGGTCATTATTAGTGGAAAACATTTCTTTGCCCATATTTAACCCCTTTTTTTTGGCACTAAACTACTTCCATATATGTGACCGACCATCTCGATTCGATGTTGAAATGTTTTATTTGATTTTATATTGGATAAAAGTAGAGACTCAGTTACAAAATTTTATCATACACTGCAGTTGAGGAACAATGCAAAGTAATTCTGCTTTGAAAGTAGATAAACTTGTAACCCCACTTTTTGAGAAATGGCCCTTTTTTTTATGTTTTGGTACACCCTCTTAAGCCTTAGCCCCACCCATGTCTTTAAGGTGTCACATGTGAGGCCATGTGCTAAACAGAGTGAGTAGTTTAGTAAACAACCAAAGATTTCAAGACAAAGTTGTAGCCTACAATAAGGAAAAACTCCAGGTAAAAATACACTTTATCTAGTCCTTGGTCTATATCCTAATCAGACTTTGGTGCAGGTCATGTTGTTCTTCACATTACCGTCTCTGTTAAACACACACTATATCAAATACAATCTATGTTTATTTGTCACATGCACAGGATACAGAAGGTGTAAACGGTACAGTGAAATGGTTATTTGCATAATAGCAATTTCAAAAATACAAAGTGTCCAGATATAAATGTTTTATGATGTATTAGATGATGCTTACCCAGACACACTTGTCTGAATTGATGGGTCATGTGAAAGACATGTCCTGGCTTGTTAACCAGTCTGTAGCCTGTAGCTTGTAGCCCTGACCAACCCTCACTAGAGGAGCAGCAGTGTGTTAAACGGCCCTAAAAAATTATTATGTGTGTATATGTTAATGATACGAAAAATGCATACAATTCTACGTGAATTCACATTGCAGCTGTGCTGCTGCCAGCAACGGTTTGGGTCTCACGGTGCGTCCCCTTTTCAGATGGTGAAGCATTGCACCTGTACTACCAATTACTGTACCTCAATTCCACCTCGCAATGTTTGCATTTCCTTCTCATTTAACTCCACAAAGTATTTCCGTACAGGACTTCACTGCTGTCGCTGGCCTTTCTCTGCCGTTTTTCCAACTATTAACGGCGATGAGGTAGTGGTGAAGTCGATTCCAAAATAATTGATTCGTCGACTCCTTGCACATTGACTCCCATTTCTGAGTATCAAGATTCGATTCCGCTAGGAATTCAGTATTTTTGGGAAGGGAGGAGACCGATTTAGTTGCGGTACTTCCAAGAACACATACACATCTTTCATAGTGAGGGATGGAGAGCGAGGGGAGGGGCACGGCATAGGCAGGTCGGCCACCAGACAGTCAGAACCCTGCACTAGGCCTATCTATCAGTATAGGCAGGTCAGCCACCAGACAGACAGACAGACAACCGTGAACTAGGCCTATCTATCAGTATAGGCAGGTTGGCCACTAGACAGACAGTCAGAACCATGCACTAGGCCTATCTATCAGTATAGGCAGGTCAGCCACCAGACAGACAGACAGACAACCGTGAACTAGGCCAATCTATCAGTATAGGCAGGTCAGCCACCAGACAGACAGACAGAACCGTGAACTAGGCCTATCTATCAGTATAGGCAGGTCAGCCACCAGACAGTCAGAACCGTGCACTAGGCCTATCTATCAGTATAGGCAGGTCAGCCACCAGACAGTCAGAACCGTGCACTAGGCCTATCTATCAGTATAGGCAGGTCGGCCACCAGACAGTCAGAACCCTGCACTAGGCCTATCTATCAGTATAGGCAGGTCAGCCACCAGACAGACAGAACCCTGCACTAGGCCTATCTATCAGTATAGGCAGGTCAGCCACCAGACAGACAGACAGACAACCGTGAACTAGGCCAATCTATCAGTATAGGCAGGTCAGCCACCAGACAGTCAGAACCGTGCACTAGGCCTATCTATCAGTATAGGCAGGTCAGCCACCAGACAGACAGTCAGAACCGTGCACTAGGCCTATCTATCAGTATAGGCAGGTCAGCCACCAGACAGTCAGAACCCTGCACTAGGCCTATCTATCAGTATAGGCAGGTCGGCCACCAGACAGACAGAACCCTGCACTAGGCCTATCTATCAGTATAGGCAGGTCAGCCACCAGACAGACAGAACCGTGCACTAGGCCTATCTATCAGTATAGGCAGGTCAGCCACCAGACAGACAGAACCCTGCACTAGGCCTATCTATCAGTATAGGCAGGTTGGCCACTAGACAGACAGTCAGAACCGTGCACTAGGCCTATCTATCAGTATAGGCAGGTCAGCCACCAGACAGACAGACAGACAACCGTGAACTAGGCCAATCTATCAGTATAGGCAGGTCAGCCACCAGACAGACAGACAGAACCGTGAACTAGGCCTATCTATCAGTATAGGCAGGTCAGCCACCAGACAGTCAGAACCGTGCACTAGGCCTATCTATCAGTATAGGCAGGTCAGCCACCAGACAGACAGTCAGAACCGTGCACTAGGCCTATCTATCAGTATAGGCAGGTCAGCCACCAGACAGTCAGAACCGTGCACTAGGCCTATCTATCAGTATAGGCAGGTCAGCCACCAGACAGACAGTCAGAACCGTGCACTAGGCCTATCTATCAGTATAGGCAGGTCAGCCACCAGACAGACAGAACCCTGCACTAGGCCTATCTATCAGTATAGGCAGGTCGGCCACTAGACAGACAGTCAGAACCGTGCACTAGGCCTATCTATCAGTATAGGCAGGTCAGCCACCAGACAGACAGACAGACAACCGTGAACTAGGCCAATCTATCAGTATAGGCAGGTCAGCCAGCAGACAGACAGAACCGTGAACTAGGCCAATCTATCAGTATAGGCAGGTCAGCCAGCAGACAGACAGACAGAACCGTGAACTAGGCCTATCTATCAGTATAGGCAGGTCAGCCACCAGACAGACAGACAGAACCGTGAACTAGGCCAATCTATCAGTATAGGCAGGTCAGCCACCAGACAGACAGTCAGAACTGTACACTAGGCCTATCTATCGGCAATCAAAAGCTGTGTATCGCAATTTCTTGGCTTTCAATGTCTCGCGACCTCAGTAAAGCAGGGCCTATCATCAATGAAAAGGCTGGGATATTCTACAGGGAACAGACTGAAGACTGAACACACTCATCAAGAGGAAGAGCAGGGGCGTAATCGTTAGTCCCTTACTGTAGGGTACTGTAGTGTATACTATATAACATGGTACTGTAGTGTATACTATATAACATGTCGTAGTGTATACTATATAACATGTCATACTGTAGTGTATACTATATAACAGGGTACTGTAGTGTATACTATATAACATGTCGTACTGTAGTGTATACTATATAACAGGGTACTGTAGTGTATACTATATAACAGGGTACTGTAGTGTATACTATATAACATGTCTTACTGTAGTGTATACTATATAACATGGTACTGTAGTGTATACTATATATAACATGGTACTGTAGTGTATACTATATAACATGGTACTGTAGTGTATACTATATAACAGGGTACTGTAGTGTATACTATATAACATGGTACTGTAGTGTATACTATATAACAGGGTACTGTAGTGTATACTATATAACAGGGTACTGTAGTGTATACTATATAACATGTCGTACTGTAGTGTACTGTAGTGTATACTATATAACAGGGTACTGTAGTGTATACTATATAACATGGTACTGTAGTGTATACTATATAACATGTCGTACTGTAGGGTACTGTAGTGTATACTATATAACATGGTACTGTAGTGTATACTATATAACATGGTACTGTAGTGTATACTATATAACAGGGTACTGTAGTGTATACTATATAACATGGTACTGTAGTGGTATACTATATCACAGGGTACTGTAGTGTATACTATATAACAGGGGTACTGTAGTGTATACTAATAACATGTCGTACTGTAGTGTACTGTAGTGTATACTATATAACAGGGGTACTGTAGTTATACTATATAAACAGGGGTACTGTACGTGTATACTATATAACATGTCGTAGTGTATACTATATAACATGGTACTGTAGTGTATACTATATAACAGGGTACTGTAGTGTATACTATATAACAGGGTACTGTAGTGTATACTATATAACATGGTACTGTAGTGTATACTATATAACATGGTACTGTAGTGTATACTATATAACAGGGTACTGTAGTTTATACTATATAACATGTCTGTGTGTTGTGTTGCAGGTTGTAATCCTGACCAACTCCCCCCTAGAGGAGCAGCAGAGTATTGGAGAGGTCTGTCACAGTAACGGCATCAAGCTGGTGATCGCTGACACACGGGGACTCTTCGGACAGCTCTTCTGTGACTTTGGAGAGGAGATGCTGGTGATTGATACCAACGGAGAGCAGCCTCTCTCTGCCATGATCTCCATGATCACCAAGGTTAGTACCCTACTCCACCCTAGATCCTAAACCCTACACCCTAGACTACAAATGTTTGGCAAAAGGTCTGATCTGATTGGACCTAAGACGTTAAGTTAGTCCACCGCTAGGTGTGTAGTGTTTCAACTATATGCATTTGGCTGATAAATCGTGGCCACCACTTAATTTTTGTGGTCATTTTTAGGGACGGTAAAACATTGTAAACTTAAACGACTAAAACCAGATATAGTACGTAGAAAAGATAATGGGCCTGTATATTTTTAAATAAGATCATCTTTGAGAGCTAACAATTACCTAAATAAGAAATAGACTGTCAGGGAGAATCTAAAATAGCACGGAGGTTGGTACCCTACTAGATAGACCCTACACCCTAAGTGCTATGATCTCCATGATCACCCAGGTTGGTACCCTACTAGATAGACCCTACACCCTAAGTGCTATGATCTCCATGATCACCCAGGTTGGTACCCTACTAGATGGATCATATCTGGTTGGTGGTGTGCTCATTGACATCTGATTACCACTCATCCTGGTTTTCTATGTTGTACTGATCTCATACCTGCTTCAGATTAGTTTCTCTGTCTATGTAGGGGACATTTTGTGCCTATCAAATCCCCTTCTCTTGTCGGTGTAAGACGCCCCCGGTCAACTCAATCTGTCTCTTGTCGGTGTAAGACGCCCCCGGTCATCTCAATCGGTCTCGACGGCGTAAGACGCCCCCGGTCATCTCAATCTCTCTCTCGTTGCTGTAAGACGCCCCCGGTCATCTCAATCTCTGTCTCGTCGGCGTAAGACGCCCCCGGTCATCTCAATCTCTCTCTCGTCGGCGTAAGACGCCCCCGGTCATCTCAATCTCTCTCTCGTCGGCGTAAGGGCGTAAGACGCCCCCTGTCATCTCAATCTCTCTCTCGTTGCTGTAAGACGCCCCCGGTCATCTCAATCGGTCTCGACGGCGTAAGACGCCCCCGGTCATCTCAATCTCTGTCTCGTCGGCGTAAGACGCCCCCGGTCATCTCAATCTCTCTCTCGTTGCTGTAAGACGCCCCCGGTCATCTCAATCTCTGTCTCGTCGGCGTAAGACGCCCCCGGTCATCTCAATCTCTCTCTCGTCGGCGTAAGGGCGTAAGACGCCCCCTGTCATCTCAATCTCTCTCTCGTTGCTGTAAGACGCCCCCGGTCATCTCAATCTCTCTCTCGTCGACATAAGGGCGTAAGACGCCCCCAGTCATCTCTGTCTCGTCGCTGTAAGATGCCCCCAGTCATCTCAATCTCTCTCTCGTCGGCGTAAGACGCCCCCGGTCATCTCAATCTCTCTCTCGTCGGCGTAAGGGCGTAAGATGCCTCCAGTCATCTCAATCTCTGTCTCGTTGGCGTAAGGGCGTAAGACGCCCCCGGTCATCTCAATCTCTCTCTCGTCGGCGTAAGACGCCCCCGGTCATCTCAATCTCTCTCTCGTCGGCGTAAGACGCCCCCGGTCATCTCAATCTCTTGTCGGTGTGTGTATGTGTGTGTGTAGGACGCTGCAGGCGTTGTGACGTGTCTAGACGAGGCTCGCCACGGGTTTGAGAGCGGAGACTTTGTGACCTTCACCGAGGTGCAGGGCATGACGGAGCTCAACGGGTGCCAGCCAGTAGAAATCAAGACCCTGGGTGAGTCATATCCCTTATAGCAATACTTAGTACGGTCATAGCCTGGTCTCAGATCTGAGGGTTATCCTACGAAGCAAGCTAGATCTACTCAGGGTTTTCTAAAGCTAGCCAGCTTCAGTTAGCTTCCCATTCCAGCTCAGGCTTCATCTGTACTACGACAGTAGATATTACTCATCCACCTGCCGCTAACTCTAGCAGGCTTGTAACTGTGCGTGCGTGTCGGTCGTGGCTAGTCTTTTAGAAGAGCCGTCTTTATTTTATTACTTATCGTTAATGCAGTGTTTGGTGTGCTTCCCACTCCTATCAATTTAAAATAATTGTATTAAGTCATACATTATTAAATGTTTATTGTGATATATTTTAACATTACAATATAACACATTTGATTAATAAAATATTTAATCAGTCTTCCTCAAATGAAGGGGAAGATGATGCAATCTTTGCAATTGGGAAGGAATCTGATTTCATTAGTCCTCAACTCGCGGCTGTCATTTCATTCAGGATAGTGGAGTTAGCTTAGCCGTGAGTTAGCCTGCCCCAGTGCAATTTAAATCTGAAGGATTCATTGCCATCGAAATGTACCTGGCTAAAAGGTGAGGCAGTTTCGCATGACCGGTTATCCCGAGTTGAACTCCTCAAACCTGCTTCGTAGGATACCCCTCTGTTTGTTTTGTCTTGGGCTGGCACCATAGCGCCATCAACAGCACTTAGTACTGGCGTGGCAATGACAGAAGGTGGCTAGACTGCTGAAACGGTCCTGGGACCATGCTGCTGTCATGGTATTGGGGGCATCAACAGTCTTCAGGGAATGGAAGACCTCTTCTTACGGTCAGGCGTTCTCTTCCTCTCTCTCTCTTTCTCTCTCTCTCTCTCTCTGTCTCTCTCTCTCTCGTGTCTCTCTCTCGTGTCTCTCTCTGTCTCTCTCGTGTCTCTCTCTGTCTCTCTCTCCAGGCCCATACACCTTCAGTATCTGTGACACCACAGGGTTCTCTGACTACGCCAGGGGAGGCATCGTCTCTCAGGTCAAGATGCCCAAGAAGGTGGCCTTCGTAAGTATTACATGTTGTCCTCTTCTCATGTCATGGTGTGAAGGCCAGGTGGTGGGTGGATATTGTAAACGTGGTGGTTCTCCATTAGAACATTTTGGCTGCGTTTACACAAGCAGTCCAATTCTGATCTTTTGCCCAATTATTGACAAGAGTTGATCTGATTGGTCAAAAGACCAATTAGTGCAAAAAAAAACATCATCATCACAACCTCTGTTACTGAGACAGTTAATTTGTAATGTTTCATGTAAATGCAGATGGCTATTCCACCAGTAAAGTTATCTCCAATTGTGCCTTGTCAACTCCTAGCCAGAAGCAACCACCTGCCCTTTCTCTAACTCTTACCCCCCCCCCCCCCGTAGAAATCCCTGACTGCATCCATGGCAGAGCCAGAGTTTGTTCTGACAGACTTTGCTAAGTTTGAGCGACCAGGACAGCTTCACCTGGGCTTCCAGGCTCTACACAGCTACCAGAGGAAACACCGCAGGCTGCCCAAGCCCTGGTGCCAGGTACACACACACCTGTATACACACACACACACACACCTGTATACACACTCACACCTGTATATATATACACACACACACACACACACACCTGTATACACACACACACACCTGTATACACACACCTTTATACACACACACACCTGTATAAACATACACACACCTGTATACACACACCTTTATACACACTCACCTGTATATACACACACACAAATATATATATATATATATATATATATATATATATATATATAAGACATACATACACACACACACACACACACACACACACACACACACACACACACACACACACACACACACACACACACACACACACACACACACACACACACACACACACAGAGTGGGGGAAAAAAAGTATTTAGTCAGCCACCAATTGTGCAAGTTCTCCCACTTAAAAAGATGAGAGGCCTGTAATTTTCATCATAGGTACACGTCAACTATGACAGACAAATTGAGAAGAAAAAAAATCCAGAAAATCACATTGTAGGATTTTTAATGAATTTATTTGCAAATTATGGTGGAAAATAAGTATTTGGTCACCTACAAACAAGCAAGATTTCTGGCTCTCACAGACCTGTAACTTCTTCTTTAAGAGGCTCCTCTGTCCTCCACTCGTTACCTGTATTAATGGCACCTGTTTGAACTTGTTATCAGTATAAAAGACACCTGTCCACAACCTCAAACAGTCACACTCCAAACTCCACTATGGCCAAGACCAAAGAGCTGTCAAAGGACACCAGAAACAAAATTGTAGACCTGCACCAGGCTGGGAAGACTGAATCTGCAATAGGTAAGCAGCTTGGTTTGAAGAAATCAACTGTGGGAGCAATTATTAGGAAATGGAAGACATACAAGACCACTGATAATCTCCCTCGATCTGGGGCTCCATGCAAGATCTCACCCCGTGGGGTCAAAATGATCACAAGAACGCAAAAATCCCAGAACCACACGGGGGGACCTAGTGAATGACCTGCAGAGAGCTGGGACCAAAGTAACAAAGCCTACCATCAGTAACACACTACGCCGCCAGGGACTCAAATCCTGCAGTGCCAGACGTGTCCCCCTGCTTAAGCCAGTACATGTCCAGGCCCGTCTAAAGTTTGCTAGAGTGCATTTGGATGATCCAGAAGAGGATTGGGAGAATGTCATATGGTCAGATGAAACCAAAAACTCAACTCGTCGTGTTTGGAGGACAAAGAATGCTGAGTTGCATCCAAAGAACACCATACCTACTGTGAAGCATGGGGGTGGAAACATCATGCTTTGGGGCTGTTTTTCTGCAAAGGGACCAGGACGACTGATCCGTGTAAAGGAAAGAATGAATGGGGCCATGTATCGTGAGATTTTGAGTGAAAACCTCCTTCCATCAGCAAGGGCATCGAAGATGAAACGTGGCTGGGTCTTTCAGCATGACAATGATCCCAAACACACCGCCCGGGCAACGAAGGAGTGGCTTCGTAAGAAGCATTTCAAGGTCCTGGAGTGGCCTAGCTAGTCTCCAGATCTCAACCCCATAGAAAATCTTTGGAGGGAGTTGAAAGTCCGTGTTGCCCAGCGACAGCCCCAAAACATCACTGCTCTAGAGGAGATCTGCATGGAGGAATGGGCCAAAATACCAGCAACAGTGTGTGAAAACCTTGTGAAGACTTACAGAAAACGTTTGACCTGTGTCATTGCCAACAAAGGGTATATAACAAAGTATTGAGAAACTTTTGTTATTGACCAAATACTTATTTTCCACCATAATTTGCAAATAAATTCATAAAAAATCCTACAATGTGATTTTCTGGATTTTATTTCTTATTTTGTCTGTCATAGTTGACGTGTACCTATGATGAAAATTACAGGCCTCATCTTTTTAAGTGGGAGAACTTGCGCAATTGGTGGCTGACTAAATACTTTTTCCCCCCACTGTGTATATATACACTCACACCTATGTATGTATGTATGTATGTATCTATCACACACACACACACACACATCTGTATACACACACCTGTATACACACACACCTGTGTATATACACTACCAGTCAAAGAGAATGCCAAGAGTGTGCAAAGCTGTCATCAAGGCAAAGGGTTGCTATTTGAAGAATCTCAAATATAAAATATATTTTGAGTTGTTTAACACTTTTTTTGGTTACTACATGATTCCATATGTGTTATTTCATAGTTTTGATGTCTTCACTATTATTCTACAATGTAGAAATAAAGAAAAACCCTTGAACGAGTAGGCGTGTCCGAACTTTCGACTGGTACTGTATATACACACACACACACACACCTGTGTGTATATTTATGTACACACACACACACCTGTGTGTATATTTATGTACACACACACAACTGTAACTGGGCTTCCAGGCTCTACACAGCTACCAGAGGAAACACCGCAGGCTTCCCAAGCCCTGGTGCATCAAGCTTAGTAACATGATTTTAAAAAAAAATCCCCATCAAAATACATCAGTTTAAGCTAGACATCCGTTTTTCTGCATTGGGTGTGTCTCAATCCGCCTGTGTTGCACTTCTCCATCTGTGGTGGCAGAACTAGGGCGGTGTTTTGTCAGAGCATGAGACAGTGTTTTCAGACCACTTGACTTTTTCCACATTTTGTTACGTTACAGCCTTATTCTAAAATTGATTATATCGTTTCTCTTCTTACCAATCTACAAACAATACCCCATAATGACAAAGCAAAAACAGGTTTTTAGACATTTTTGCAAATGTATTACAAATAAACTATCACATTTACATAAGTATTCAGACCCTTTACTCAGTGCTTTGTTGAAGCATCTTTGGCAGCGATTACAGCCTCGAGTCTTCTTGGGTATGACGCTACAAGCTTGGCACACCTGTATTTGGGGAGTTTCTCCCATTCTTCTCTGCAGATCCTCTCAAGCTCTGTCAGGTTGGATGGGGAGCGTCGCTCCACAGCTATTTTCAGTTCTCCAGAGATGTTTGATCGGGTTCAAGTCCGGGCTCTGGCTGGGCCACACATTCAGAGACTTGTCCCGAAGCCACTCCTGTGTTGTCTTAGCTGTGTGCTTAGGGTCGTTGTTCTGTTGGAAGGTGAACCTTCGCCCAAGTCTGAGGTCCTGAGCGCTCTGGAACAGGTTTTCGTTAATCTTTCACTCGATCCTGACTAGTCTTCCAGTCCCTGCCGCTGAAAAACATCCCCACAGAATGATGCTGCCACCACCATGCTTCACCGTAGGGATGGTGCCAGGTTTCCTCCAGACATGATGCTTGGCATTCATGCCAAAGAGTTCAATCTTGGTTTCATCAGGCCATCAGATCTTGTTTCTCATGGTCTGAGAGTCTTCAGGTGCCTTTTGGCAAATGCCAAGCGGGCTGTCATGTGCCTTTTACTGAGGAGTGGCTTCCGTCTGGCCACTCTACCATAAAGGCCTGATTTGGTGGAGTGCGGCAGAGTTGGTTGTCCTTCTGGAAGGTTCTCCCATCTCCACAGAGGATCTATAGAGCTATGTCAGAGTGACCATCAGGTTCTTGGTCACCTCCCTGACCAAGGCCCTACTCCCCCGATTGCTCAGTTTGGCCTGGAGGCCAGCTCTAGGAAGAGTCTTGGTGGTTCCAAACTTCTTCCCTTTTAAGATTGCACTGTCAACTGTAGGTTGCGTAGTGGTTAGCCTAAATCCTGATGCATGTCTTACCTTGCTTCAAAGTAGCCTAAATCCCAGCATAGGAATGTGGAGGCAATTATTTTCATATGCCATTGAAACCATTTCTCATGTTCCATTGGTTTTCAAATGAACTTAATTTCATTGTCCACTAGCCAAAGGCACAATCCTAGCATTCCTGCGCTTATAATGTGAAGAAATAAAAGTTTTAGCATTTTAAACTAAACGTTCTAATCTGTTGCATCAGCCTCTTGATTTTTTAAAAGTTATTTTGATGTACTGGTTGAATGAATTAGGGTCTGTCGTCCCACAACTGTCCCAGTCTTTTTGGAATAGGCTTTCTTTCTCGCACTGAACGACAAGCTGACCAATAGAATAGGTGAACTTTTCTACTATGGGGGATAGTAGATTGACAGGTTAGTGATTCTGCTGTTCGTTACTCGTCTTCTTTGCTGAGGAAAAGTGAATATGGACGGTAATTCTAACGTCTTCAAATCACGCATCGGAATTCGGTAAGTAGGACACGCCGTTGCGTGTTCTGTTAAGATGATTACCATCTAAATATGATTTCTGTCATTCTGAGCACTGTGGGTGGACACCCTAATCAGGTTAAGCACCCAATGCAAATGGGTCCTGTAAATCAAAATGCGGCCGGTCAAATCGAGGCTTGGGCAGTATATCGGGGTATTTGGAAATAGCCATGGGTTGAGTTTTCAATAGTTTTACTACACAGAAAATACATTAGTGCAACACAAATAGCTTCCATTTTCATCAGATGACAACAGAAGTGCAACGCTATTTGGCTGTAAATAAGTAAAAGTCAATGAGTTTAATGAAAAGGCGAGGTATTTTTTGCTAAATCGATGCATGGACATATATTTATTTTTATCCTAGAAAGAATGTAGAAATTTACATTCCTAATGTTTTTCTTAAAGTTAATCTAGCTTTTTATCAGAGAAAAGTAGGCTGCTACACCGAGAACAGTAGCTCCACATCAGTCAGAGCGCTGTCTGCTCATAGAATGCCCTTTCATGAATTCTCATCTGACTGGAGAAGTGCAACTGAAGCACGAAATTAGTCTGAAGCTAAAATGACAATAAGAAGCATTTTAGATCTACGTTTACAAAAGGCAGCGAGACATTTCTTATGCGTTGTCTTTTTTTCCTGGGTGAACAACGCATAATTCTGCATTAATTCTGCCCCTAAGTGTAACTTGCTAGTTATGGCCTAATTAACCAGGTGACGGGGCATCCTATAGTGTTGGCTTTCTGCCGAGTTTGAGAAGTCAAAGCCCTTTGGATGAGTCGTCTGAACAGCTGCCAATATCTTGATTTATTTGAGGATGAAAAAAATGTTTTGTCTCCGTTCTTGGCCCTTCCCTCTTCTCAGAGCAGGCAGGCCGTTGCCCTAGCGACTCCAGACTCCACACAGACACAGCCTGTACACATGCTGCTCCAGAGACAGTGCTCCAGAGACAGTGCTTCAGAGACAGTGCTCCAGAGACAGTGCTTCCAGAGCCACAGAGCCAGTGCTCCAGAGCCAGTGCTCCAGAGCCACAGAGCCAGTGCTCCAGAGCCACAGAGCCAGTGCTCCAGAGCCACAGAGCCAGTGCTCCAGAGCCACAGAGCCAGTGCTCCAGAGCCACAGAGCCAGTGCTCCAGAGCCACAGAGCCAGTGCTCCAGAGCCACAGAGCCAGTGCTCCAGAGCCAGTGCTGTTCATTTGCACAATGTCTCTAGTTTACTCTCTTGCTCCTTCCTGTACATGTAGAACTTTGAGCCTTTCTTTGCGATTTTTGTCATTTTTTTCCCCCCCGTTTGCACTCGTTAGCATATTTAGCTAGCAGCCTCCATGGAAATTCGCTATTACTTTTGCTAATTTTGTTAGCGTTCTGGTAATAGACGGCCAACGGGCACCCCCTTGTGTACTAAGCCGGTATTACCGTAAATCCAAGGATGAGTGAAGGACGGTATGGAAATCTGGATACCTCCCAACCTGACACACACACTGATAATCCCATTGAATTTCCATTGAACTGGTTATTTGTCGAGCTCAGGCAGAGTCTTGTGAACAGGAGTAAATATGTTCTGCTTACTTTCGATTTCCTGTTTTACGCTCTGTTATTCTAGTTATTTAGCAACACCCACAATCTCCTGGCTAGCAATTTTTGGAAATTGTAGCAAATGCTAGTGCAAATAGATTTTTTTTCCCTTTAGCTGCCATTCAGAAGTTAGTGACCGCTATTAATGAAATGCTTTGTGTGTGTTGCAGGCTGATGGAGAGGAGCTGGTGTCTCTGGCTAAAGAGGTGAACTCCAGCCAGACGGGGTCAGCTAAGGTGGAGGAGCTGGATGACAAGCTCATTAAGAAACTAGCCTTCGTCTCCGCCGGCGACCTGGCACCACTCAACGCTTTCATTGGTGGACTGGCCGCGCAGGAAGTTCTGAAGGTAAGGAAGCTGCTCACTTCTGGTCTGTGTGGGATACTGTGTGGGCTGCGTCTCATGTACTTTGCTCTAAGCAGCATCTGTGTTGTCAGTGTGGATGTACTTTGCTCTAAGCAGCATCTGTGTTGTCAGTGTGGATGTACTTTGCTCTAAGCAGCATCTGTGTTGTCAGTGTGGATGTACTTTGCTCTAAGCAGCATCTGTGTTGTCAGTGTGGATGTACTTTGCTCTAAGCAGCCTCTGTGTTGTCAGTGTGGATGTTGTACCGTATCTCCATCGTTAGACGTGTTGGGGCATGTAGGGAGAGCCTCTCTCCAGACTCCTCTACTGTGTTTTTCTCCCTCAATAAACCCACCTGTTCTCTCTAGATGTGTGTATCATAATATATACCATTTAGTAGATGCTTTATCCAAAGCAGCTTACAGTACAGTGTGTGCATTAGTATGTGAATGGGATCCCTGCTAGCATCCTGTCCAGGGGGTGTACTAATGGATCCCTGCTGGCGTCTTGTCCCTCTATAGTGTCCTGTCCAGGGGGTGTCCCGTCCCTCTATAGCCTCCTGTCCAGGGGGTGTCCTGTCCCTCTATAGCCTCCTGTCCAGGGGGTGTCCTGTCCCTCTATAGCCTCCTGTCCAGGGGGTGTCCTGTCCCTCTATAGCCTCCTGTCCAGGGGTTGTCCTGTCCCTCTATAGCCTCCTGTCCCTCTATAGCCTCCTGTCCCTCTATAGCCTCCTGTCCAGGGGGTGTCCCGTCCCTCTATAGCCTCCTGTCCAGGGGTTGTCCTGTCCCTCTATAGCCTCCTCTCCAGGGGGTGTCCTGTCCCTCTATAGCGTCCTGTCCAGGGGTTGTCCTGTCCCTCTATAGCCTCCTGTCCAGGGGGTGTCCTGTCCCTCTATAGCCTCCTCTCCAGGGGGTGTCCTGTCCCTCTATAGCGTCCTGTCCAGGGGTTGTCCTGTCCCTCTATAGCCTCCTGTCCAGGGGGTGTCCTGTCCCTCTATAGCCTCCTGTCCCTCTATAGCCTCCTGTCCAGGGGTTGTCCTGTCCCTCTATAGCCTCCTCTCCAGGGGGTGTCCTGTCCCTCTATAGCGTCCTGTCCAGGGGTTGTCCTGTCCCTCTATAGCCTCCTCTCCAGGGGGTGTCCTGTCCCTCTATAGCATCCTGTCCAGGGGTTGTCCTGTCCCTCTATAGCCTCCTGTCCAGGGGGTGTCCTGTCCCTCTATAGCCTCCTGTCCCTCTATAGCCTCCTGTCCCTCTATAGCCTCCTGTCCAGGGGGTGTCCTGTCCCTCTATAGCGTCCTGTCCCTCTATAGCCTCCTGTCCAGGGGGTGTCCTGTCCCTCTATAGCCTCCTGTCCAGGGGGTGTCCTGTCCCTCTATAGCCTCCTGTCCAGGGGGTGTCCTGTCCCTCTATAGCCTCCTGTCCAGGGTTGTCCTGTCCCTCTATAGCCTCCTGTCCCTCTATAGCCTCCTGTCCAGGGGGTGTCCTGTCCCTCTATAGCCTCCTGTCCCTCTATAGCCTCCTGTCCCTCTATAGCCTCCTGTCCAGGGGTGTCCTGTCCCTCTATAGCGTCCTGTCCCTCTATAGCCCCTGTCCAGGGGTGTCCTGTCCCTCTATAGCCTCCTGTCCAGGGGGTGTCCTGTCCCTCTATAGCCTCCTGTCCAGGGGGTGTCCTGTCCCTCTATAGCCTCCTGTCCAGGGGGTGTCCTGTCCCTCTATAGCCTCCTGTCCAGGGGGTGTCCTGTCCCTCTATAGCCTCCTGTCCAGGGGGTGTATTTGTGCTTCAAGCTCCCTCACGCTACAGAAAGATGGGCTGTTCTGGCCCTCTATTGGCTGTTCTGGCCCCTTATGGGCTGTTCTGGCTCGTTCTGGATCAGACAAGGCTAACTTTCTTACTTATGTGTTCCAGTGGAAATTAAACCAACCTTAACACCTAAGCCACACAGGAACCCAACTGTCTCCCCTCTGTAGGCGTGTACAGGGAAGTTCATGCCCATGGTCTGTCTGTGTCTCCTAGGCCTGTACAGGGAAGTTCATGCCCATGATGCAGTGGCTGTATTTTGATGCTCTGGAGTGTCTGTCTGAGGAAGAGGGAGGAGCCATGCTCACTGAGGAGGACTGTGCCCCTGTGAGTATACCCCCCCCCCCCCACACACACACACACACACCTTATATACACACACACACACCTTATATACAACAACACACACACCCACACACATACCCACACACACACCTTCCACTCACACATAACCAAGACACATACACCCCCAACCACACACACACCCCAACCACAACACCCACACACCCCAAACCACCACACACACCCCTACCACACACACACCCCAACCACACACACCCCAACCACACACACACCTTCCACACACATCCACCTTATATACACTCACACACCCCAACCACACACACCTTATATACACACACATACCACACACACACCTTATATATATATATATACACACACACACACCTTATATACACACAACCACACACACCTTATATATACACACACACCCCAACCACACACACACCTTATATACACACACACCACACACACACCTTATATACACACACACCTTCCACACACACATACCACACACACACCTTATATACACACAAACACCCCAACCACACACACACACCAACCACACACACAACTACCCCACACACACACCCCAACCACACACACACACACCAACCACACACACAACTACCCCACACACACACCATCTGTGGCGATATGGGTTGGGAACCGTGTGTGGTTAGGTAAAAAGGTGCCGTGGTACGTCTATGGAACAGACTGATAAATATGCCCGAACACAGAATCACTAAAAAAAAGTGTTTGACTTGGACCTTAGTCATAACTATCCGTAGGCTAGAGAATGACCTGTTTTTGGGACACTGATATGCAGTATATAGTCAGTAACAAGAGACCATGTCAAGGACAAGCTTTTTCTGATCCACAATTAAAAATGGGCAGTTAAACCAAAACTTAGAACGTACTTTCATCAAAGAGAACTACACACCTGAACCATATGTCCACCTGAAGCTAACAGAAATACCAAGGGCAGTTTGTGCCCAACTCAGATGCAGCCCCCCCATGTACCTACTGTGATCTTGGGGAAAACTAAATCCATTAGTGTTTTATTACCCTCTGTATGAGGATCTAAGACATGTTGGTGATAACCCTGAAGGATTCTGGGTACGGGATGAGCAGAGGCTTGCGTTCTGTTTCAGACGTGGCGTGTTTGAGATTGCTCAGTTTGTTCACAATGCCTGGAGAAGGAGAAATGTACTGTTTGTGTCGTGGGGCTGGATGGTAGCTGGTTGGGTCGTGGGGCTGGGTGGTAGCTGGTTGGGTCGTGGGGCTGGGTGGTAGCTGGTTGGGTCGTGGGGCTGGGTGGGTCGTGGGGCTGGGTGGTAGCTGGTTGGGTCGTGGGGCTGGGATGGTAGCTGGTTGGGTCGTGGGGCTGGGTGGTAGCTGGTTGGGTCGTGGGGCTGGGTGGTAGCTGGTTGGGTCGTGGGGCTGGGTGGTAGCTGGTTGGGTCGTGGGGCTAGATGGTAGCTGGTTGGGTCGTGGGGCTGGGTGGTAGCTGGTTTGGTCGTGGGGCTGGATGGTAGCTGGTTGGGTCGTGGGCTGGTGGTAGCTGGTTGGGTCGTGGGGCTGGGTGGTAGCTGGTTGGTCGTGGGGCTGGTGGTAGCTGGTTGGGTCGTGGGGCTGGGTGGTAGCTGGTTTGGGTCGTGGGGCTGGGGGGTAGCTGGTTGGGTCGTGGGGCTGGGTGGTAGCTGGTTGGGGGTCGTGGGGCTGGGTGGTAGCTGGTTGGGTCGTGGGGCTGGGTGGTAGCTGGTTGGGTCGTGGGGCTGGGTGGTAGCTGGTTGGGTCGTGGGGCTGGGTGGTAGCTGGTTGGGTCGTGGGGCTGGGTGGTAGCTGGTTGGGTCGTGGGGCTGGGTGGTAGCTGGTTGGGTCGTGGGGCTAGATGGTAGCTGGTTGGGTCGTGGGGCTGGGTGGTAGCTGGTTGGGTCGTGGGGCTGGGTGGGTCGTGGGGCTGGGTGGTAGCTGGTTGGGTCGTGGGGCTGGGTGGTAGCTGGTTGGGTCGTGGGGCTGGGTGGTAGCTGGTTGGGTCGTGGGGCTGGGTGGTAGCTGGTTGGGTCGTGGGGCTGGATGGTAGCTGGTTGGGTCGTGGGCTGGTTGGGTCGTGGGCTGGGTGGTAGCTGGTTTGGGTCGTGGGGCTGGATGGTAGCTGGTTGGGTCGTGGGGCTGGGTGGTAGCTGTTGGGTCGTGGGCTGGTTGGGTCGTGGGGCTGGGTGGTAGCTGGTTGGGTCGTGGGGCTGGATGGTAGCTGGTTGGGTCGTGGGGCTGGGTGGTAGCTGGTTGGGTCGTGGGCTGGGTGGTTACTGGTTGGGGTCGTGGGGCTGGATGGGTCGTGGGGCTGGGTGGTAGCTGGTTGGGTCGTGGGGCTGGTGGTAGTTTGGTTGGGTCGTGGGCTGGGTGGTAGCTGGTTGGGTCGTGGGGGGGGCTGGGTGGGTCGTGGGGCTGGGTGGTAGCTGGTTGGGTCGTGGGGCTGGGTGGTAGCTGGTTGGGTCTGGGGCTGGATGGTAGCTGGTTTGGGTCGTGGGGCTAGATGGTAGCTTGTTGGGTCGTGGGGCTGGGTGGTAGCTGGTTGGGGTCGTGGGCTGGTTGGGTCGTGGGGCTGGGTGGGTCGTGGGGCTGGGTGGTAGCTGGTTTGGGTCGTGGGGCCGGATGGTAGCTGGTTGGGTCGTGGGGCCGGGTGGTAGCTGGTTGGGTCGTGGGGCTGGGTGTAGCTGGTTGGGTCGTGGGGCTGGATGGTACGCTGGTTGGGTCGTGGGGCTAGATGGTAGCTGTTGGGTCGTGGGCTGGGTGGGTCTGGGGCTGGGTGGTAGCTGGTTGGGTCGTGGGGCTGGATGGTAGCTGGTTGGGTCGTGGGGCTGGGTGGTAGCTGGTTGGGTCGTGGGGCTGGGGGGTAGCTGGTTGGGTCGTGGGGCTGGGTGGTAGCTGGTTGGGTCGTGGGTGGTGGTAGCTGGTGGGTCTGGGTGGGTGTAGCTGGTTGGGTCGTGGGGCTGGATGGTAGCTGGTTGGGTCGTGGGGCTAGATGGTAGCTGGTTGGGTCGTGGGGCTGGGTGGTAGCTGGTTGGGTCGTGGGGCTGGATGGTAGCTGGTTGGGTCGTGGGGCTAGATGGTAGCTGGTTTGGGGTCGTGGGGCTAGGTGGTAGCTGGTTGGGGTCGTGGGGCTGGGTGGTAGCTGGTTGGGTCGTGGGGCTGGGTGGTAGCTGGTTGGGTCGTGGGGCTGGGTGGTAGCTGGTTGGGTCGTGGGGCTGGGTGGTAGCTGGTTGGGTCGTGGGGCTAGATGGTAGCTGGTTGGGTCGTGGGCTGGTTGGGTCGTGGGGCTGGGTGGGTCGTGGGGCTGGGTGGTAGCTGGTTGGGTCGTGGGGCTGGATGGGTCGTGGGGCTGGGTGGGTCGTGGGGCTGGGTGGGTCGTGGGGCTGGTTGGGTCGTGGGGCTGGGTGGGTCGTGGGGCTGGGTGGTAGCTGGTTGGGTCGTGGGGCTGGGTGGTAGCTGGTTGGGTCGTCAGACACACTGCAGGTACAGAACACCTGCTTCTGTAGAGTGATCTCTCTCTTTGTTCCCCCCCCAGAGGAACAGTCGTTATGACGGCCAGATCGCTGTGTTTGGCTCCCAGCTGCAGGAGGAGCTGGCTAAACAGCGCTACTTCCTGGTTGGGGCTGGCGCTATTGGCTGTGAGCTGCTGAAGAACTTTGCCATGATCGGATTGGCCAGCGGGGAGGGTGAGGTCATCGTGACAGACATGGACACCATAGAGAAATCCAACCTCAACAGACAGTTCCTCTTCAGGTGAGCGAGGGAGGGAGAGGAGTGGCAGACCTATACCATGGAGGGTTTTAAATAGCTTGGCCTTTTAATCAGTGATTTTACTGTTTTAGACATTGCTTGCATCCCAAATGGTACCCTATTTACTATATAGTGCACTACATTTGATCAGGGACCATAGGGGTCATTTCAAACGTAGTGCACTATATAGGGAGAACGATACCATTTTAATCATTCATATTTTATTGGCACTTGTTTATTTTCTAAAGTGTTGCTCTTTTTAAATAGTAGTTTGGTTTGTATTCAGGCCGTGGGACGTGACCAAGATGAAGAGTGAGACGGCTGCAGCGGCGGTGAAGCAGATGAACCCGTCCATCCGGATCACGGGACACCAGAACCGCGTCGGGCCCGACACCGAGCGCGTCTACGATGACGACTTCTTCGAGAGCCTCCACGGAGTCGCCAATGCACTGGACAACGTCGACGCACGTAAGATGCACTCTAAATGCTTCTTACTCCCGTTTCCTGGTGTGTAATGTATGGAGGTAGAAGAAAGACGGTGCTATTTCTGGGTGTGTAATGGATGGAGGTAGAAGAGAGACGGTGCTATTTCTGGGTGTGTAATGTATGGAGGTAGAAGAGAGACGGTGCTATTTCTGGGTGTGTAATGTATGGAGGTAGAAGAGAGACGGTGCTATTTCTGGGTGTGTAATGGATGGAGGTAGAAGAGAGACGGTGCTATTTCTGGGTGTGTAATGGATGGAGGTAGAAGAGAGACGGTGCTATTTCTGGGTGTGTAATGGATGGAGGTAGAAGAGAGACGGTGCTATTTCTTGGGTGTGTAATGGATGGAGGTAGAAGAGAGACGTGCTATTTCTGGGTGTGTAATGTATGGAGGTAGAAGAGAGACGGTGCTATTTCTGGGTGTATAATGTATGGAGGTAGAAGAAAGACGGTGCTATTTCTGGGTGTGTAATGGATGGAGGTAGAAGAGAGACGGTGCTATTTCTGGGTGTGTAATGGATGGAGGTAGAAGAGAGACGGTGCTATTTCTGGGTGTGTAATGTATGGAGGTAGAAGAGAGACGGTGCTATTTCTGGGTGTGTAATGGATGGAGGTAGAAGAGAGACGGTGCTATTTCTGGGTGTGTAATGGATGGAGGTAGAAGAGAGACGGTGCTATTTCTGGGTGTGTAATGGATGGAGGTAGAAGAGAGACGGTGCTATTTCTGGGTGTGTAATGGATGGAGGTAGAAGAGAGACGGTGCTATTTCTGGGTGTGTAATGGATGGAGGTAGAAGAGAGACGGTGCTATTTCTGGGTGTGTAATGTATGGAGGTAGAAGAGAGACGGTGCTATTCTGGGTGTGTAATGGATGGAGGTAGAAGAGAGACGGTGCTATTTCTGGGTGTGTAATGTATGGAGGTAGAAGAAAGACGGTGCTATTTCTGGGTGTGTAATGTATGGAGGTAGAAGAAAGACGGTGCTATTTCTGGGTGTGTAATGGATGGAGGTAGAAGAGAGACGGTGCTATTTCTGGGTGTGTAATGGATGGAGGTAGAAGAGAGACGGTGCTATTTCTGGGTGTGTAATGTATGGAGGTAGAAGAGAGACGGTGCTATTTCTGGGTGTGTAATGTATGGAGGTAGAAGAAAGACGGTGCTATTTCTTCAGTACCAGTGTGTGTTATCTGCTGGCACACATGATAAAACAGGGTGACATATATATTTCTGGGGTTTACATGATAAAACAGGGTGACATATATTTATGCGGTTTACATGATAAAACAGGGTGACATATATATTTCTGGGGTTTACATGACAAAACAGGGTGACATATATTTCTGCGGTTTACATGATAAAACAGGGTGATATATATTTCTGTGGTTTACATGATAAAACAGGGTGACCTATATATTTCTGGGGTTTACATGATAAAACAGGGTGACATATATTTCTGCGGTTTACATGATAAAACAGGGTGACATATATATTTCTGGGGTTTACATGATAAAACAGGGTGACATATATTTCTGCGGTTTACATGATAAAACAGGGTGACATATATTTCTGGGGTTTACATGATAAAACAGGGTGGACATATATATTTCTGGGGTTTACATGATAAAACAGGGTGACATATATTTCTGCGGTTTACATGATAAAACAGGGTGACATATATTTCTGGGGTTTACATGATAAAACAGGGTGACATATATATTTCTGGGGTTTACATGATAAAACAGGGTGACATATATTTCTGCGGTTTACATGATAAAACAGGGTGACATATATTTCTGTGGTTTACATGATAAAACAGGGTGACATATATATTTCTGTGGTTTACATGATAAAACAGGGTGACATATATTTCTGCGGTTTACATGATAAAACAGGGTGACATATATTTCTGGGGTTTACATGATAAAACAGGGTGACATATATTTATGTGGTTTACATGATAAAACAGGGTGACATATATTTCTGTGGTTTACATGATAAAACAGGGTGACCTATATATTTCTGGGGTTTACATGATAAAACAGGGTGACATATATTTCTGCAGTTTACATGATAAAACAGGGTGACATATATTTCTGGGGTTTACATGATAAAACAGGGTGACATATATTTCTGGGGTTTACATGATAAAACAGGGTGACATATATTTCTGCGGTTTACATGATAAAACAGGGTGACATATATTTCTGGGGTTTACATGATAAAACAGGGTGACATATATTTCTGTGGTTTACATGATAAAACAGGGTGACCTATATATTTCTGGGGTTTACATGATAAAACAGGGTGACATATATTTCTGCGGTTTACATGATAAAACAGGGTGACATATATTTCTGTGGTTTACATGATAAAACAGGGTGATATATATTTCTGGGGTTTATGTGATAAAACAGGGTGACATATATTTCTGTGGTTTACATGATAAAACAGGGTGATATATATTTCTGGGGTTTATGTGATAAAACAGGGTGATATTTTTGTGGTTTACTTGGGGCTGGGCGATATGTCGAATTATTATTTTATTTTTATTTTTTTGTGATATTCCAAATGTCTGTATCGCAGAATCAAGGTTTTGTTATTTTTCATTTTCCTGAGCGTTTGTCTGCTTGTTCTCTGTTTGTATTTATGGTCTCGTCTCCTTCACTCCTCTGTGCTGTGCTCCTTCCCATTTACACCAGAGATCTGTATATAATGAGGAGATGCTCCTTCCCATTTACACCAGAGATCTGGATATAATGAAGAGATGCTCCTTCCCATTTACACCAGAGATCTGTATATAATGAAGAGATGTACCTTCCCATTTACACCAGAGATCTGGATATAATGAAGAGATGGACCTTCCCCTTTACACCAGAGATCTGTATATAATGAAGAGATGTACCTTCCCCTTTACACCAGAGATCTGTATATAATGAAGAGATGTACCTTCCCATTTACACCAGAGATCTGGATATAATGAAGAGATGCTCCTTCCCATTTACACCAGAGATCTGGATATAATGAGGAGATGCTCCTTCCCATTTACACCAGAGATCTGGATATAATGAAGAGATGCACCTTCCCATTTACACCAGAGATCTGGATATAATGAAGAGATGCTCCTTCCCATTTACACCAGAGATCTGGATATAATGAAGAGATGCACCTTCCCATTTACACCAGAGATCTGGATATAATGAAGAGATGCTCCTTCCCATTTACACCAGAGATCTGGATATAATGAAGAGATGCTCCTTCCCATTTACACCAGAGATCTGTATATAATGAGGAGATGCTCCTTCCAATTTACACCAGAGATCTGGATATAATGAAGAGATGCTCCTTCCCATTTACACCAGAGATCTGGATATAATGAAGAGATGCTCCTTCCAATTTACACCAGAGATCTGGATATAATGAAGAGATGCTCCTTCCCATTTACACCAGAGATCTGTATATAATGAGGAGATGCTCCTTCCCATTTACACCAGAGATCTGGATATAATGAAGAGATGCTCCTTCCAATTTACACCAGAGATCTGGATATAATGAAGAGATGCTCCTTCCCATTTACACCAGAGATCTGGATATAATGAGGAGATGCTCCTTCCCATTTACACCAGAGATCTGGATATAATGAAGAGATGCTCCTTCCCATTTACACCAGAGATCTGGATATAATGAAGAGATGCTCCTTCCCATTTACACCAGAGATCTGGATATAATGAAGAGATGTACCTTCCCATTTACACCAGAGATCTGAATATAATGGTTCAAAATAAGGTTCAAAATAAGACCATAGAAACTCATTGGGCTTATTTTGGACAGATTTTGGCGACAGTGGAACCTCTCGCTTCGCCTCTTTCTCCCAAGCCCCTCCCACCTGCCACTCACAACAACAAAGATGAAAGATCACTTCTTCTATTTCTGACAACAAGCAGGTTCAAGTCACTATGAGCATTTGAGGTTTGGTCCAACAGAATCGGGTCATATGGACACCAAAACACTTTTTTAAAAACTTTAACAGAGCAGTTAAAGTTAATTCTGTTTGTCTCAACTACTCAAATTGCACGCTGAACAGACCATACTAAAACGGGAGTATCAATGAACATTGGTTCTGGAAAATTAATGCTCCGTTTGTCGCCCGCATCATTGCAGTACCACATACTGCTAGCAGCATTTTAGCCAAAGACCGTTATACTAGCTGTCTAATCTTTGTTTTATAAATGTGCAATAAGCATAAGAAGATGCATTTGTATAAGGAATTGGCAACTCGTTCTCATTCTGAGAAATAAGGTAGTCCACTTGATTTCAACATCTGAACAAAGTGGACAGGCTAACATGCTTTTCAAACAGTTGGCGACAGACAGGAGAGTGTGTTCATAACAATTCAACTGTTCAACCTTGCTAGCTAGCAAATAGATCCACGTTGGCTAAACTTGAAATATAAAGATTAGCTGTCTAATCACTAGCACGTGGGCTTGAGAGATTGTTGATGAGGCCTGTGTTAAATGTCTCTAGGCTAATGCCTGCTACCAGAAGTTAGTCATTATTAGTGAATGTGCATTATGCTTGTCTCTAGTAACATCTGGAACACTAAAGGGGCATTTTCATAGACTTGAAAGCCAGGTCAGTGATTATTGCAAATAAAGCAGGTTAAACTATTTTTTTTAATTTTTTTTTTTATAATATGTTTATTTTCCAATAAAAATAAAGTAAAAGAGACAGCAATACAAACAATGACATTCATTGTACTGTTGGATGGGATGGCCAGTTTAGAGGACAAAACAAAAGTTAACTCACACATACACAAAATAAAACAAAATCCTATTAGGTGGTACGTGTATAAGAAGACAGCATATAGTCATTACAAGCAGTGTAGTTCAGCCAAAAATAAATATTGAGTGGAGTACAGCACAGAGTAGCAGCAGATCGTCAGCCCAGTTATGAAGCGGGACTAGACCATTTATCCAGTATCGGCTGCCA